AGAGGTGGAATAAAAGGTAGGAAAGAGAGAGTCAGAGAGGAACATGTTGGTGTTGCACTGAGAAGGGAACAAAAAGGCATGACAGGAGAGGGGCAAACACAACAGTGGCAGTTGTAAAAGGGGAATGTCTTAATTTAAAAAGAATTCTGATGGATAATAGAGGACAATGTTGAGGTAGAATGAGAAGCAAAAAATTACATAGGAGATGTGAGAGAAAAACAACTTAGAAAGGGAAGAGTGTTTTTCATATAACAGAGAAGAGTGGACAGTAGCTGTTGGACCAGAATAGTCCATCATGTTGCCTTTTTATTCAGATACACACACACACACACACACACACACACACACACACACACACACACACAGGAAAACACCCTGAGCACTTAAGGTCAAAGACTAAGTTAGACTTCTTGCATATACAATTATTTATGATTATGTCTTTAAAAAAAAAAAAAAGAAAAAAATTTATTGTCCAGCAATATATTAATTCCAATTTCAGAAAGTCGGAAGGAAAAACTCCTTTTTAACAGGAAGAAACCTACAGCAGGCTCAGGGAGGGGCACCCATTTGCATATTATATTCATTATATTCAGCAAAATGAGTGTCAGAAAAAGTAAATCTATTCTCTCAGTGGTCTTCAGTCTTTTTTTCCAAGTAACGAGTAAAGTAAGGGGTTGCAAAAACCCACCTGGGACCCAGCTACTTTTTCCTCAGTTTCCATGGTGGCCCCAAATGTGTTTGCCCAGATGGGTTAATGATGGGCCCCAAATCAGATCCAACCAAAAAAACATGTGTGGGGCCCATATGCATAGAAGCGGGTCTGATATTTGGGGCCCACCTGGGACCCAGCTACCTTTGTCCTCAGCTTCCATGGTGGCCCCAAATGTGTTTGCCCAGATGGGTTAATAATGGGCCCCAAACCAGATCCAATCAAAAAAACATGTGTGGGGCCCATATGCATAGAAGCGGGTCTGATATTTGGGGCCCACCTGGGTTACCCACCTGGGACCCAGCTATTTTTGTCCTCCATTTCCATGGTGGCCCCAAGTGTGCTTGCCCAGATGGGATTTTGGATAATACAGTAAGCTAAAATTTAAATCACCTGTACAACAAAGTCAGTTTATCTTTTTTATTAATACTGATTAATATGAAATTTTAAAACAGTATGCAGTATAACAGTAATTTTTTATATACTATACAAATAATTTTTTTTGTTTAGAGAACATGTTGACAAAAAAGGTCCCGAGTATACACAAAACAATAACAAATCAATGTTATACAGTTTAAAAGAAAAAGAAATGCACTGAAACACAGCTTCTCACTCATTCACTGATCCATTGGTCCTGAAAAAAAGTGCACTTTTTCACAAATAACATCAGATTTGCAATACTACTGGAATTGTTTTGAAAGTTGTGCTGAACAAGTTGTTTGACCTCCTACATTGAAGTCTTTGAAGACCACGAGTATCCATGGTAACAGAAAAGCTATTTACAAAAGGATTAACCAAGTAGGCACTCAAAAATCAAATTAAAAGACATCTACATAGTTACATTGATAAGTGTTGTGGGGTGTCTCAGTGATGGACAACGCTTAGAAAAGGCACGTGGTTAACCAGTTGCATGGTGCAGAAACAATCACCTCATAGTAAACACAAAACAGAATGGATGATTGTGGATTTCAGGGGGAACAGGAGTAAACAAAGCACGGTTTACATGCTGAGAGACGAGGGAGAAGACTGGAAATGTAACAACGACTACATCTACCAAGGAGAGAACAGATTCTACTTCTTGAGGTGTGTGCCGGATGGGCACCGAAGATTTTCATGTAAAACAAAAATAGGGCCAACTACTACTTTAATGTCTGCACCAAGATGTGGAATATCTTCTACAAGTCTCTTGTGGAAATTCCAATCTGCTTCCCAGCCATTTGTTAGGGCAGCAGTATCAGAGTCTGTGAGTTTGAAGTCACACTGGTGACACACTGGTAAAGAAGGCTGGCGCTGGAGTTCCTGGAGCTGATTGTGCAAAGAAGAATATTGCACAAACTGCTAAACATAACTGGAAATTGTTCACATACCGTAACACAGTGAGGAACCAAAAAACGGTTTAGTGAGAGCTGTCTTCAAGTATGCTGCAAACCAGAGAGAAATATGTGGTCATTCCTGGCAGCAGCCATCACCCTCCAGAACAACATGAGCTGATGCCCCCCCCCCCCATAAAAAACCCAAACATAATTTCCCTCAATAATACAGTATTTGTAATTAATTTCATCTCCACAGTCTATCTAAACCGCAACCAGGAAACAGCTGAAAGTATACTTTCAGCTGTTTCCTGGTCGCTTTTGTTAATTATGACCTTGATGCACAAACTTGTCTAGATCTACTTAATTCTATGATTAAATTGTAATTTTATGTTGTCTTTTAGTTAGCTGATCGCCTCTTCACAAACCTACTGGCTACTGCAGAAGTATGCACAAATACCCTGTGGAGTACTTACATGGGAATCAGTTAAACATGAGGAGATTTTTGATGTTGTTGGACAGTGATGCATCAAAAACTTGAGCCATTTTCACCAGATGGAGTAACACCTCTTATATTAAATACATCTTGGGAACTGTTTACACAGCCTCTGCATCTAATTTCAAAAAA